TTTGCTTCATAATATTTGTTAGGTCAGTCGGATTTTTAACCTCCGAGCGACTAAAGTCAAATGACGTCACTCAAAACTCGGCGACGCTCTCCAGCAACAAGAAAGGGAACTGTCCATTAGCAAAGCCTATCTACTGGCACAGCGCGGTAATCTTGGACCAGGCGCGTATATACCAGAATAAAGATAAGGTCCCATGCGTTCTATTCTTGTGGTCTAGTCCAGGGCAGATGGTCGCTAGGAAAGTGGTCTGGGTCTTGCTGGCTTATCGTAGAATACAAATAACGGTGTAACAATATTTATCAAGTTTAATGGGAACGACGCGATACGAAACGTGAGGCGGGGCCGGTGGGATTTTTTGAATTTTTTTTTATAATCTTGAACGTATCTTGCACTTGGTATAGTCACGTGATTATACGTTTAAAACGTTATGGTGATTCGACGACGTTAACTACTGCTGGCAAAGGGTCGATTAGCAGAAAGAGAATAGACGATGCTTTACGACGTCCATTATACAATTCGTTCAATTGCATCGTAAACTATTGTTAATTTCTAATTCGACTGTACCCTTAACGTCTGTCTTGAAATTACGATTGCTTAAGGAGAATCGCAATGTTCGAGAAGAGAAGGCTTTATTAGGAGGCGTTTTTTTTTTTAAATATTGTACCACTATCGGTTTGTGAATTATCGAAAAAAAAAAATTGTATAATTTTGGAATTTTGGTAAAATAATTGTTTTCAAAGAAATCGTATTCCAGATGAAAATTAGAAAGGTGTTATAGAATTTATATAAAGTTATTAATATGAAAAATACAAAAAACTGTGTCTTATTTATATTTTTCTGCTGTCGATTAACACAACTTGATAATTTTGCATTGTTACGTAACTCAGTCGACTGTATAACGTGGTCGATTAGCAATTAGTCCGAGAGGCGTCAATAGGGATTAACAATGGTTTGGATAAATGGGTCGTCTCAAATGAAAGCCGCCATTATCCAGACATACCAATTGTCAATGAAACCTCTTGGAATTCGCTCCTCTCAATTGGATCAACAGACTCCGTTTAATTGTAACTGCGCGACGCTCCAGGCTTATAGACACAGCTGACAATAAGCATATAGCGTACTCATAGAAAAGATGGAAACAAAAAATAATAACAGAGATCTCGAGAGAGACCGTTACGAAAGCCATACCACGAGCCACCAATTTCACTCGTACATTTCTTCGTTCTTCATTTTTGATAAATTCGACTCACCTGCCAAGTCCAGAACCTGCCCCATCATCGAGTAGGTAGGTAGGCAACGGATAAGGTAGTTTCACGTACAATTGGACTTTAGAAAATTTTACTGTACCGACCGAGTCATTTACGAGAGTGACAGGACAAACGAGTCGAATCATCTTCCAGGGAACGTGTAGACGTAAGGTAGAAAGAACAGACAGAGTGCTATAGTATTAGTAGCGGATTAGTAATAGTAGTAATACTAGTAGTGGTAATAGTAGCAGCAGTAGTGGTAGAGCAAGTAGTCTTTTCAGAAAATAGGATTTACTCTTTAAAATGTAGCCTTTGTATATCTCTTCTATGCTATCCTTATAACCTCAAACGAAAGTATGTCCCAGTAAGTAGACCTTTCGATTGGAACTCGAGGATTACGTCACGGAATGCCATGCCGGAAGCTACAGAACATAAACATCGAATCCGAATTGTGTTTCGAATCGACTCAGAAGAATGAGACTCCCCGTCGAACGTATGGCGCCGGACAAGTGCTGCCACCTAGGGGCAAACTTCGTAGCTTCTAATACTTTCATGAAAAATTTGCAACTTTTCGTACCGTACTCTATTTTTTTAAACTTTCAGAACTCCTCGCACCAGTTATCAGTGCGACATGTGGACCAGTGACGGCACTCAAGAACCACCAGCTGATAATACACGGAAAAGATACGATCCACGCGTTCCCATAATTTCGGACACGAATTTTTCAGCGATTCCCAGAATCCTCGTTAAAATTTATTTTACTTTATATTAATAAAGAAAAATGCATTCAGACATTACGGCATATCGATGGAGTCCTAGATTTCACGATTCAAAGCAAACCGCAATCCATCAATTTATTCAGCTCTAAATGAATCGATATTTCAGGATTCCTTTTACGAATGCAATTAAAATTTTTTTTCTTTTATCCACG